GTGTGTGTGTGTGTGTGTCAGAGAGAGAGAGAGAGAGAGACAGAAAGAGTGAGAGAGACAGAAAGACATAAATTTCTTTTTTTTCCTTCTGTTTCTAATTATTCTGCTTCCATTCTGTGAGTGGAATTTACTTAAGGTGTTAACAACATAATGGCTTGGTCTTTAGGTTTGTTTGATTTTTTGCTCACATCCATGTCACACTTTTCACCTGTGCTAGTAACACTGCAATTTTATCAGGAAATGTTTTTTTCGCCTTCTGTTTCTCCTCATCACACCCTTCTTAGGAATTGTAATCCAATACATGAATTGATCTAAGCCACATTTTTACTTCATTTTGAGCTGGGAACAGAAAGTCTAAAGTACATATGAACTTTTGTTTTTAATATGTGCTTCTCAGGTAACTCAGCCATGGTGGAAACACAGTTCACAAAACTGTTTTTGTTCATCTCAGTAGAGAATGCTTTCCTTTGAGACAGTTAAGAAAGAATGGTAGTATGCTCAAACAGCAGCTTTTGTATTTGACAGTCTCTAGATGGTTAGTTACATCTGTCAGCATTAATTTATCTTAGTCCAATATATTATTTTTGAGACATCGAACTGCGCTTGTGGTATTTTTTGGTAGAGAGACTTAAGGATTTTGTTGGACAGAGTATCCACAACCACTTTTTAATATGTCCAGCAATTCCTTGAGTATATTATCCTACCATCAATTTAATAAAATTGGACAAATGTCATATTTTCTTTCAATAGTGGCTTCGTATATGTGGAAAGCCCAAAAATATGTATCTCAATCATAATGTCATTTGAATCATGGCAGAATAGCATTTACCTAACATACTACTTCAGATTTTCAAAAAGACCTATATTTAGGATCAGAAAATTATAAAATTAACACTGTGCTCAAAAATCAACATGTAATTTGATTACTTTATAAATGACCTAGAAACTACAAAAGAAGTTTGACAAGTAGGCTTTTGTTGTTGTTGTTAAATACATATGTTCTCCAAAAATAAGCCAACTGAGGTATAAAAAATTTCTTATAATCAGATATCTTTAGATCATTTCAGGCAGCCACAGAATGTAGCAAGTCTTTAATATGACAAAAATGTTTGAGTATATTAAATGACACATACTCTGGTTTGATATGATGTGTCTGCTTGATGAGAAGTAAGCAATAATAGGGTATTCCTCCACCTATATTTCTGGGTAAAAACAACAAAGATGTCATACCTTATCTATAGCAATCATCTTTGATAAGACTCCCTGTAGAAATCTCAGCAGGAAATCTGATCTAAGGCCTGGTGCAATGAAATAGCTACTGACATTGAACATGGACAATATGAGAATGCGCCCTTCAGGCCACCTAATCATCTGGTGCCCTCCAGCTCAAGAAAATCACTCTGACTCTTGCCAAAAATAATATTTGGGTAGGAGGTAATTTCCTATAGCTGGAGGCAACTGATGCCTAAACAGTAAACTTTTTTTGTTTATAAGCCAATTATTTAATTTGATTCTTTTAGTTTTAAATTGAGTCACTAGCTCTTCTCCTGAATAGTTCTTCCACTTTCTCTGAATGACCTTCCTATCTATTGTGAAATGAGAAAGAAAATAATTCTTTCTGCCTTGCATTCATTTGTACTGATTTTTGTCTTTCTAGTATGAGAGTGGATAAAAAAAGTTATAATACAACCAAACAGATGAACAAGAGAAACAAACACCTTTCATATCCAAGTAAAAGTTTTTATTTGTTGTTGGTTTTGTTATTTATACTCCCTCTTAAATAAATTTTATATATAATGACAAATATAATTATGAATTTGACTTACCCTAAAGCATGCTAAATGACAAAAAGAATGATTAATTAATGATGTTCTTTATTAATATGTCTGATTAAACTTCTTGTTGGCATGCTCTGTCTGACTATACTCTGATACTAAATTGTTCAGTTTCATTTTTTCTTTTCTATTTTCATTTTTTTTCTGATTTTTATCACCTCATATGTGGGTCAGAGGCAGTGAAGTTCAACTAATAATTGAATGCTATTGATTTCTTAAGGTAAAAAAGACAGGAGGCCTCCTCTCACTGGTATTCCAATATGAAAATGTTTGAAATTGGCATGACCATTTTAGGCTGCTTTCACAGCACATTTTTAACTAACATCCTCTTATTCACATAGAACCAGGAAAAAAAATCATTCACCTGACATTTAAAAATACATCACATCTATTTATTAATTCTTTGTTAAAAGATAAAATGCTAACCTTAATAAAAATATTATAGAGCTTGAATATAGGTTAATATTAAGGAAACAATAGGCATTTAAATGTTTCAAGGTGCCTTTGAAATTTACAGAAAGCTTATATTCATAGAATTTTGGCATTTCTAGAAAAGGGTTAGTTCTTTTCCTTATGGTTAAGTAAAATATTACTCCATCATATTTTAGTGAGAGCAAGTCAGGTTTGCACTTGATATTTAATTAAGTAAACAGAATACAAGATGTTTTTGTATCCAGAAAGTACCATTCTGTGACAATTTAGGATAACATAGGAGAACTATTCATTTAGCTAGTAATCTGTACTCAATATATTATCTAATCATTATTTTTATTTATCTTGAGTTACAACAATCCAAAATAAATGATCACTTTTTTTAACTCAATGTCCAAGATATCTGTCTGTGGATGTTGAAAATATTAACTTGTTGTTCAGTGATTTTCTCCATGTAGCTATTCTTCACTATACAAGAGGGTCTCCAAAGCCAAGTTCATTCAGACATGTTAGAGAGACACAGGTTATAACAAAGGAATTGCTTTGGGTTAGACCACCAAAATGAATGTCCATTTTACATTGCAAAGGAGAATTGCAAGGGAGAATTGAGGATGTGAACAAATGTTAATGTTGTACAAGTGTTTAAGTTATGATTTATCTACGCTCTCTTTACTTTCTGAATATTTTCCAAATCAATGAATGCAAAAACATTAACATATCCAAACAATTAACCAAATAATATGATTTACTATCATTATCATGGCTTATTTGAAGAAAATTTTATCATTTTTATTTTGTTTTCAAATAATTCACTTAAGTAGGCAGGCAAATTATATGTTTTCTGGAAGAATTAACATGAGGCACTTTCTGTTTCAAAGAAATAGAAATTCAGTTTGTTAAAGGGTGGTATGGTTTAGTGTAAAAGGTTTGGGATTAAATAGGCCTGGGTTTGGACTTTCACCTTGACTTGCCATTAGCTGAGCAACCTTGGATTTCTTGAATTGTAAAATAGGGATAACATTATTTACGTCATGGGGCTATTGACAGAACTGAATGAGATAATTTGAAAGTGTCAAGCGACTGCCTGACTGCCTGACAAGCACCGAGTGGAATTCAGTAAATATTAACTTCTCTTTTTCCTCCCTTTTGTCTTTTTCCTTCTATTCTTTACCATCTGGTTATGATTCCTTCATTTATTAAACTCTGACCTAGAGTTAACCCAATTTAAACAGCAATGAGTCAAAAAGCAATGGAATCTAGAATTGCAGTGATTATGACCTGGATTTATCAAAATTTCTTTCTTTTCAAACATATTTCTGTAATATCTGAGGTCATGTGGTAGATTTATTTTCGGACTGCATGATAGCTTATACCAAATAAGAACATTTTTCCTAATAGATATATTAAAAAATAAAAAGCAAGCCATTGCAAATAAAGTATCAGTCCTTTCTAAATAATAGCAAAATCTGATTAAGTCAGATCCCACTGAAAACGGCATGTATGAAAGATTTAATTGATACTAAAATAAAAGCTATAAGCAAGATTTTACAATGATACCTTACCCTACTAAATAAGAATATTAGAAACATAGTAGCTTTATACCTATAAAAGCAAATGATACAATAAATGTAGTTTGCAGTTTACATTTTATAATTTTATCATTGGTCATAGTGGAAAAGAATAAAATTTCATGTTTTAGCAATGTTAACTGAATCAGACTTCATGAATTTTCTAAGTTAATGCTAAATGAGTAGTCACATATTTAATCAGTGATTATAAAATACTCCCCTCGATAAAAACATAGGATGAAATATAAGTAGCTTTGCATAATGATGCAGAGAGCATTTCTGCCTTCTCTTTAGCATGGTCAAAACATCAAACTTGTATTTTGTTTGTATTGTTTTTCTTGCCTTAATTGAATTAAAGCATGTGTATGTGGTTATATTTGGTCACAACACAGATGGAGAATTATACTCTGGAACTGCAGCTGATTTTATGGGGCGAGACTTTGCCATCTTCCGAACTCTTGGGCACCATCACCCAATCAGGACAGAGCAGCACGATTCCAGGTGGCTCAATGGTAGGTGGCATATGTAAGAACACCGGCTTGTGACATGTATAACTGTATTAAGTCATTGAGGAACTTTTATGGTACAAGAAATATTGCTTGAAATTTAGTGTGCTGTTAAGCTGATGATAGTGACTTCATGACTGTGGGCGTGAGAAAGTTGGGCAAAAAGAGAAAAGAGAGATTAAAAATTCAGGAAAATATCTATTTTGTGCCAACACTGAAGTTTCTCAGTAGTTAGCTATGGAAAGAAAGAGATCTGGACTAGAGCTACGGAAGAGAGGCAATGGAAAAAGATAAGATGACTTACCAACCCTGTCTTTTTACAAGGACACCACAGTAAATCTCACAGTGTGGTACTTTCTCCATCCACATATCTCATTATTGCCTTGAGATCATCATCATATAAACTATTGAATATCAGAAAAAATTGCAGTGCTAATAACATTATAGTAATAGTATTTTCAAAATTTCAAAGGGCTTTTATATAATATCATTATTTCATTTGAGCTACTTTTAATTTTCCTAAAACCCCCTCTCCCATTTTATAGGTGAGGAAATTAAGGGAAATATCTTATGTAACCCAATAGTAGAAGATTTAGAACAGGAACCCAGTTTTCTGAAC